AATGAAAATTGAACGTTTCTAGACAGAATTTTAGTCATAAAACGCCTTGTGACCTTGGCCGGTGATGTTTCGAGGACCTTTTTCAAAAGTTCTAAGAAGAAATTCTCAATAACTCGCTGTACTCTACTTGTTCTTTTCTTATGCGGTTCAAAACAAGATTTTCTCTTCCAACACTCTTTTTGCAAAATTTTCCCATTGTGACAATTTTAAAATTTCTTCCAATGTGCCAATTTTCAAAAAATTCCGCCAGTAGAACAACTTTTCAAAAAATTTCCCCATCCGCGCGGGTGCGCACGAGGAAGATTATGCACCTCTGATTTTTCCTGTAACTCGATGAGGAAAGATCTTAAAAAAATGTCCCAAAAATGCCTCTTCGATATGACCTTGAGTACCTCTGGTAAAATTTTTAACTCGGTCGGATGAAATTTAAGGAGGGTCCTAATGTGGCCCAATGAAAAACCCAGTTTTCTGGAAAACTGGTAAACGACAATAGTTAAAAACTTGAAACAAAAACGAAAAATACTCTATTGACTTTCCAATCAGTTTCTGAAAATATGAAGCCTGAGTGACTTTTAGTTTTTATTTCATAATACTTCTACGGAAAGCCTAAAAAGAGAAGAAGGGTACCGTTAAGCCCTGTTATAAAAAACATTATTGAAATTTTGATAAAATGTACGGGAAAGAAAAGGATCTCGATGATTATATGCAAATATATGTATAGATACGCAATTTTTTTTGGATATGCGCGACTACGTTTATAATGACAGCATTTCTGTCTTAAACTATTGTATCCACAATTCGAGGAGAAGTCGTTTAATGTTTTGAACCGATCATGAAAACTTTTTATAAATTCACAATTTAATCGACAATAAAGGCAACAGAAAAGGGATCTGTAGTCGCTAGAAATAGTTCCTTCTTTCAGACCAATACAGATTAATTACCTGCGCTTGTAATACTATCTTTTCTTGTCCTCAACGCATTTGTTGATGCCGAGACGATAACAGAATTTGTTGTCGCTAGAACAATTGGTGATTGTTGCAATGATAATTTAGATTCTGTTATTTCCGATGGCGATATTTTAGTCATTCTAATGCAAAAAATTATTGATTAACAAAAGAATCTAAATCTTTTGATTAGATATACCTTGATTGTGAGTCCTCAAGAACAGTGTCTAGAGTATTCTCTAGGGATTTATCATTTCTAACTAATGATTCTACAATAATACTAATTAAAGCTCAAATATTGCAAAACTGTCACCACATTCTTACCTTTTGAGGATGAACTGAATCCTTTTGAGTTCGATGTCTAAAAAAGAATAGCATTATTGTATAGGAAAGCATACTAATTATTCTAAATCAATATTTACTTGCGGCATAACTGATGTGGATGGAGATTGTAGCATTGTGGTTATTCGTGGTTGACCTGAACACGGTCGAAAGTCTGTCTCATAATCAACGGATAATACACTATATGATGAAAATAATGACTGAACAGAAAATTTGATTTACTCGGTATTTCTGTACTCTTACCTGAATGATTTATCCTTATTATTTATGTAAACAGGCAATTTACTAAGCGTAAATCTTGTGTTATCACGTGGTGTATACGGTCGAGACGTAGGTATTTCTCTCAATGATTGTTTAGCATCACTAATAATTTTTGATGAGACAACAACACCGGTCGGAATTTCGTAGAATGCCATCGATTCTCTACTACTTCGATGTTTTGATTGAGAAGCACTGTTATTTTTATTTAAATTACTCATAATAAAGTTATTAAAGATTAAGAGATCAAAAAATGATGGTGTATCTAGAACATAAAATATCAGCTGAAATAATTTTTGTAAATATCTGTTTACTTTAGGTCAAGAGAATAAGAGTAAGATACTAGAAAATTATTAGAATAAAAACAAAAATTTCAATAAATACGATTAATTCTTTTTTTTTGAAGGCAAAGCAAACATATTTCAATCAGGTAAACTGCACTGATCAAGGTTAAAGAAATCCTCTGTCAAAAAATCTTTTTCAAGGAGTTTGGATTATGCATATAAATTTTAGTCATTGTTTTATAAAAAAATGTGCTTGTAATTTATTTTATATATATATACACTCTTACAATGTTCACCTATACGTATCTGAAAAAAATAAATTCCTTTCTCTTCTTTTTTTTTGAAATTTGATTTTACTTGTTGCTATTATTACAGAAAAGATGCAGAAGTTGTGCAGTGTCGAAGTTTAATTTCTCTTGTCGTCATCATAATAATAATCGAATAAAAAACATATGGAGTCTAAGAGTTTTACTCGATGAAATGTACTTGAAACAAATAAGTAGAACATATTTGTTAAATCAATTAAGTACTTTAACTTCCTTTATCAAACTAACGTAGAACAGTTCACTGTTAGAGTTTGTTAACCGGAATAGTAGTTTATAGTAATAAACTGAAAGATAATTTATTTTATTCCAGACATCATTTTTAAGTAGATTGATCTAAAATATATGGTCAAATGAGGTGCATGACACGAAGAGAATTAAATTTTTAAACTGTAATATTTATATCAATTTACCCTATCCGTATGATTTTGAGCTGCTCCAAATAGAAAAATGTATCCATTGAATAATGTTGATTCAATCATTTTCTGCTTACAAAAGTATGATTTTCATATTAATCCGTAACAGATGTACCATAATGAGTGATACCTTTCAGAAAGATTTAAAAAAAACGAGTCCGTCTCTAAAAGTTCTGAGAGCAATGTCAGCCCAATACATCAATCTGTTCCCTAATATTTTACTTTCACAAGTACGAATTAAGTCCGCGCCTCAGCTTCGATCGCCACTCACAAAAAAATTATTGATCTTCATTCAACACACTAGCAAAATACTTTGGATATTAAGCACGCATCTACAGATTATTTTCAATCAAATTTGAATATATCGAAGCTGCATTGGATCCGATAGTATAAAAATTTTCTGACGACTTCACAAAATTTCCAGGCGTGCGATTGATTCTTGCCTGAAGACACACCACAACTTTCACTCGCGGAGCAACTCCAAAACTTTTCTAGAAACACCCGGTCTCTTGGACTACTACTTATAGATGCTTAGTGGTGAATTATCTGTTTTGATGTCGTTTCTTTCGCGATTATTCGGCTCTATCACTTTTCACTTACCTGGAGAGAATTTTTTAACTTTCAGTGTCTATATGTCCCACCGTATCTTAGCGTCCCCTACTGTATTTAATTTTCTTACTTAATTCCAGTAAATTAAGCATTTCTAGCCTGATATCTGATGTTCTCTTAGCTTCTACATATCTTTGAGACATTTAAAATAAAATTATGGTTTACTTCTTCTCTCTTTTCATTAGCTCATCCAGAGAATATCTGACGGACAGTTTTCCATGTGTTGCGGACATACACACAAAAATTGGAATTTCTTTTTGAAGAAATTCTGTTCGTGGATTATGTCGGGAAATTTCCCAATCTCACGGGTAGATTCTGCACCTCTGCTGATCTGTGGTACTAGTGTTCTCAATGTTTTGCTGTATATTTTTGTCGCTCGTCCTTTGTTGGTTATCAGTAGATCTCGCTTTGGTTTTTCTTGGATGTATCATTGTTTCTTTCTGCTCATAAAATCGCTTCAGAGTTTTTCGAATTTGTCCACCTAAGCATCCATTCAATTGTGCAATTCTGTTGATGAATTAAAAAGTTAATCTGACATTAGATAAACGGTTGGATAAGAAATCAGCGCTCACTAAACACAAAATCAGAAATAAAATATCGCATAAATTGGAAAAAATCGAAGATTATTTCAAAAGACAGTGGATATTAGTGCATGAATTTCTAGCCATCATTGCACGTAAACCTTTTTCAAAGTAAAACAGGCTACTACCATGATGAGTCCACTGTACGGTGTGATCTAGATGCAGGCAATTTACAAATTTCAGTTTTGTACTCCATTTTACTCTTGTCTTGAAAATGACCAGTAAATGGTTGACAGCTCGGCTTGTCTAATTTAAAATCAATTTTAATAATGACACTCAACAATATTTTCAGTTACTGTTAAGCTATTATTATTATTATTATTATTATTCAAAAGCTTGCCCATTAGAGAAAATAACTATTACGTATTTTATTAGATTTTTGGATAAATTTCCAATTGCTTAACATATTTTGTTTGGTAGTTTAATCAGAGACGGGCAAGTCCAAGTCCGGACTGGGAGACTTTTTCGTCCGGACTGGGACTGAAGGCGTAAGAGACTTGGACTGGACTGGAGACATAAGAGACGTGGACGTTTTTCTGCTAGATTTTTTTCACATTTGTGACTGAACCTTTGAGTTTAAATTTGAAAAAAGATGAGAAGAATAGAGAAATCGAATTCAGTCTTTTATCTTTTTCTTGTTACCGCATAGTCGGTTAATATTAGCTCTGATCAGAACTTTTGATCAGAGTTACTTACAATCAAAAGGCGGCTCTTTTTTTCCGTTGATTGATTGGTTACCAATCAAACAACGCAAAGAAACCAGTCACTAAATGCTCGTCTGCCTTTCTGCACTGCACATTCTAATTTTCTCAAAGTTACGTTAAGACATAATGACTTCTGATAAGGATAATTTAACATCAAATACATCGGACTTAAAGCTTAGCGGACTGGGACTGAAAAATTTTAACTCGTCACGGACTGGGACTGAAACATTTTAACTGCATAGTGGACTGGGACTAGAAAAGTACCGGACTTGCCCATCTCTGAGTTTAATACAATTAGAACAAGCTCCGAAACGCGCACAACAACAGCATTTAGGAGATAGTTAATTATTTTTAAAACCAGATCTCAGTTTATTGCATAATGACCCAAACATTAGTCTTTTTTTATAGATATTTAATGTTTTCATTAAGTTTTTTGTCGTCGTTTTCAATTATTTCATTTATTTTAAACTGATAAACTTCAATTGATAACGTTTGTGGAAGGTCATTGCCTTTAAATTTAAATTTTTTTCTCTTCCTGTGATATATTTATAATTTAGTAAATTATAAATAAATCATCAGAAGAGTAAAAAAATTTAAACTTAAATGATAAACTTCAGGTTTTTAATAGTCATTGTTTTAATATAGTAACGCAGTAAACTTCATAGTAAAATTTTAAAGTGACTGTTAGAATTTCTCATTTAAAGTCTTATGTATGTGTGGTCAAATTGTGTGATCCATAAATAATTCTGTGTAGAAAATGAATGTAGACACTATCACCCGCATAGCCTGCCTGATTAGCATTTTGAGATCATGTCTTTCTGTTCATTTTTTTTCTAACAACGCGCTGAGACGAAAGAATATCTGAACATGGAATATCGTATGTAGAAAGAAGATGTCGACTTATTTGCTGAGTTCTTGATGATAATAAATGTGTGTCATGTACAAGAAGTTGCAGTTTCCGAGTATATCCCCAAGTATATCTTATCACATGTACTTCCAACGGAATCGTGTTAATTCTTTTCGTTTTCATTATCATCTCTTTCATTGTTACCGACTTTTCAATGTTGAGCTCTGAAATGAATGAGTGTAGCCTGATATACTTGTGATGCAACCAACATGTGTCTTTTGTGTAGACAAGATAATGTTATCATTTATAAGAGAAAAGTATCGTCATACACAGTCATCATATAAGAGAAAAGTAGAATTAGGTTGGATAAATGTCGTTATTTCTAAGAAGTATAAAAAATGTAAAAAAGCTTCATTTTCGCTCTATTGCAACCAATTCATCTTATGCAGCTAAACCATTATTAACTGTTGATTTAACAAAGCCACCTTTTGAGCAACCAATTCCGTTACATAATCGATGGCATCCCGACATCCCACCAATTGTATCAGTTAAACCAGGTGAAATATTTCGTGTAGAATGTGTTGATTGGACCGGTGGGCAAATTCAAAATTCAGATATAGCAGATGATGTAAAAAATGTTGATTTAACACAAATACATTATTTAACTGGACCGATCGAGGTCAATGGCGCAAAACCGGGTGATGTTCTCATTGTTGATATTCTTGATGTTGGACCTTTAGCAAGATGTATGTGGGGTTTTACTGGTATATTTGATCACGCTAATGGTGGTGGGTTTTTGACAGATTATTACAAAGAAGCGAGGAAAGCAATATGGGACTTTTCCGGTATTTATGCAACATCGAGGCACATTGAGGGAGTTCGATTTGCGGGTTTAACTCATCCTGGACTAATTGGGTGTGCTCCATCTCAGAAACTGTTGGATCAATGGAATCGACGAGAACAAGAGTTAATTTCATCACATCAATGTAAAAATAAATCTCATATCGTTGCACAACCGCCTCAAGAGAAAGGCTCGTTGCTGGGAACAATCGATCGACAATCATCACTGTGGAAAAGAGTGGCAAACGAAGGTGCGCGAACAATTCCACCAAGAGAGCACGGTGGCAATTGTGATATCAAAAATATTTCACGTGGTTCAAAAATTTATTTTCCTGTTTATGTTGATGGTGCGAGATTGAGTGTGGGTGATATTCACTTTTCACAAGGTGATGGTGAAATATCTTTTTGTGGCGCAATCGAAATGGTATGTACAGACACTCTCTTTTCTCACACCTGTTAGTATATTGTGTTCGTTCAGAGTGGTTACGTTGATATGCATATTCAAGTGATGAAAGATGGTATGAACAAACTGAAAATGAAAAATCCATTATTTCAGCCCGGTCCCGTTGAACCAAGATATTCAAAATGTGTAACTTTTCAAGGAATATCTGTTGATGACAATGGTAAACAATATTTTCTAGATGCAAACGTGGCTTACATGCAAGCGTGTTTATCTGCTATTCGATATCTAACACGTTTTGGTTATACAGAAGAACAAGCTTATTTAATATTGTCAGCAGCTCCGATCGAAGGACGAATAAGTTCAATTGTTGATATTCCTAATGCTTGTTGTACTCTCACATTGCCAACAGATATTTTTTCATTTGATATTCAACCAGAAGCAATACCAGAAACAAAAGCACGAGGTGTGTTAGCGAAAACAACTAAATAATATCATGCAACATTGTGATCGTCACTATATAAGTGTTTTGTTATGTTTTAATATATTTTAATTTTTAGCTCTATATATACTTCGTTGGTGAGAAATAAAATGTTTATTAAGGAAATTGCATCAAGCATATTGTTCTTGGAATTGTAGAACCCATTTATCCGCTGCCATGTCCTTCCTATAGAGTAGATTGTTACGATACATATAGTTAGGGAATACTGTTAGTTTTTTCTTCGGCAGGTGACACATACGAACTACGTTTTAGTTTATTTAGTTAAATTCGTGATTTTTTAACGATTTTCCTAAACACTTTTAATGTACAATGAAGAGTGGAATTGTTATGGAATGAATTTTGTTTAATTAGTTGATATTCTCATCATAGACATAATTTCTGCTGGGAGGAAGGTAAAAAAACTTCTTGATCTAGAAATTTTGGTTTTTTGGTGGAACGCTGGCACTTTCTAATCACAAAGCAGCGAAAAACTTTTTTGTCCGTATAAGAAAATTTTCGTAAAACTGTACAAGATATTTGGGGGGGGGGGGGGGGGGGGGGGGGGGGGGGGGGGGGGGGGGGGGGGGGGGGGGGGGGGGGGGGGGGGGGGGGGGGGGGGGGGGGGGGGGGGGGGGGGGGGGGGGGGGGGGGGGGGGGGGGGG